CAACTTAACAAGGTGATGTAAAGGATTGTGAAGGATGGTGGTGGATTTAGGAATAGCTGTTGGAACTCAGTCTTGGTCTCTGAGTATTTATTACTATCATAGCTGCTGCTTGAGTGTGTTTGATAATACCATATCAGACTGAGTCTTCTCTTTGTATTACTTCTGCCCAGTGTTAAATGTGGATGCTCAGACTCATTGGTCCCTATTGCCAACCAGTAGACACAGCAGCAGCCTCCCTCATGTCCTCTGCCCGCCCCCTTCTCTGTTGCTACTTGTTTGTGTTTGCATGCAAGTAAGGATCATTACTCATCCACCACCAAGCCTAATGGGGCTTATCAGCATCAATAGCACAAGGTGCAAAGAACATTTCTGAAGCTGAAACTGGTCTTACTGACAGATCTATCTTTTTTGGCAGCGACATCCTGATGGGTTGCATAAATCGGAGTTTCTCAGGGCGACACAGATCCTGAGCTCTGTTCGACTGAAGGAAGGCTGCGGTTTTTGGAAGGGCTCACTGAAGATGAAATTCGAAGTTACGTAGGTACGGCAATAAGCGAAAGAAATGAAGGGAAGATTGTGGGAGAGATAAAAGCAATGAGGTGAAGAGACAGCCACGGAAATTATCTGAGAGGGAGGCACATCATGAAGGAAAATGTAATTGCTGGCATGAAAGCATCAAGTTATAATAAAAGAAGCAGGAAGGAGGTTGACAGATTTAATAAGAAGAGAGTGAGATTTGAGGACAGGTTACACGCAAGCACAGAGAGATGAAGAGGGGTTTGTGATGAAAGAGGGTCTGTTTTATTTTTTATTTTTTTGGATGGGGCTTTTTTTTTGGGGGGGGGGTTATATAATCCAAAAATACACCATAACTTCACTGCTCCAATTACTGAGCCCAAAGGATGTGCATGTGTATGTGCAAGCGTCTCCCTGTTCATTTGATTCTGAACTGATGTTGATTTGACTTTGCCCTGCTTGGCACAAAGCATAAGAGATGAGTTATACAAACAGATGCACACAGTGGTGGATCGCAGCTTTTTGCATCTGTGCTCATCTGGATGTAGATGTATTCCCACCTGATGTCAGTCGTCGCTGAACACAAAATTATAAACACATTAGAGCGTCTCTGCGACAGTGATATCTGCAAGGCATTAGATGGGAGTCATAACAGAAAAATATTAAGGATTTTAATGTAATTCTCTCCACGTAATGTCCTTCTCCTGGAGCTCAGAAAGTTATACGTTGTCATTTACTCACATACATTCCCTGTCTGTGTAATGGAGAAAAATGGGTGCAAGATTAATTAAACATGATCTTTTCTAGGTTTAATCTCATCTCCGTAACATAAATTGATTTGACAGTCCGTATCACGTCTATAAAATATGTGTGGGTGTGTGTGTCTCTGTCTGTCAGAGTAGCGGTGTGATCTTACAAGAAACAAAAGGAATGGGGAAGCAAAGAGACATCTGACCACACCGTCTGCTCTGGAGAGTTTCCCTTCCTGGCTGACTCGGTGACACAGCTATGACAGGGCTGGATTAAGACAGCTGTGTGTCAATTAGTTCTCAGTTTTCTTGTCTCAATCTAACTCTCTGTCGTTTGTTTTCTCACACACATATTCGATGAAGTCAGTTACACGGACATTGAGGCATGGGAACTGATATTAGCATTGACGTCAGTTTTACTGGCATGGAGGTAATGAACATTAACACTGAAGGTGGTTTCACGCATCAAATAACAAAATGTAGCATTAAGGTCAATTATAGTAACACCGAAGTACACTCGGTGACCAGAGATAGAAGAGCGCAGTATATTTTGCTTTTGTGCAAGATCAAATTAATTGCGGTCATATATAGTGTCAAGCTAATTCTCTGGTTCCAGCGTCTCGACTGTGAGGATTTGCTGCTTTTCCCGGTTCTAAATAATTTCAAATTGAATATCTCTAATAATGTATCTTCCAATATTTTCCAGACATATCCTTTGACAAAGTAATAAAAATAATGAAAGTAATTGTTAGTTGTAGCACTAATTCTATTGTAGAGACCGTCCTCTCATATAAAAATGACCCAATAGGTCGTTAGTGTAAGCAGCTTGTTACGACCCATAGTTATATTTTATTGGTAAGCAACAGCTTATATATATAAACATTCCAGAACCCCTGCAGAATGTTACAATTTGCCTCCTAAACATTCCACAATCCCACCACAACATTCTGACCCCGCCCCCCACCCACCCCCCACCCCCCTCCCCCATCACACTAACATTCTGGAATCCCTCCATGATGTTCCAGACTCCCTCATCAGAACGTCCTGATCCCTGTCCCGCACTGAAACAATCCAGAGCCCCACCTAAATGCTCCGGACCAGCATCAGTATTCCGGAAGTCTCTGGTGTTATGGAGGTCGGACTGATGTCACAGCTGAGTCGGAGACAGGAAGTGGGGCGGGAAGTCCATAAAGAACACAAACATTAGTGGTGGGGAAAAGGGAACAAAGGCATATTATCATTAACAGCATGAATTTTATATTTACACGCAAATGCTTAATTCCTCGACACACACATGAATTTTACATGAATCTTATATGATGAATTCTGACATTTACACTGGCCAATTAAAAATGCTGTGCTGCATCTTTCTATTTGTAGGATAATTGTATTTGAACTCGATTGAACTTATTAAAAGTCAAATGTGGTGACATTTAGATGGGGGATCGCAACTGCATGTGTGTCAGAGAATATGTGTGTGTGTGTGTGTGTATGTACGTGAGAATTTTTTTTTTTCTTGCATTGAATCAGCGTAGGCAGAGAGAATAGTCTTTAAGTTCTCTTCTGTTTCTGTTTTGCAGTTTTCCAGCTTCACGTGTCATTTAGTTCTGCAATACCCATTAGAGATCTGCTCTTAATGGCATTTACATAAGGCTTAAGTTTTTTTTTTTCTATGCCCACAGCCAGTGTCCTCTCTGAACCAAATCAATGCTAAAGTACAAAGAGAACACCAATCCAGGCCTAATTAAATGTCACATTTAACTCCCCGCCTGCTATCTCTCTTTCACACGCATGAGCATGGATTTTATAAATCAATACCCAGGGGAAATGGACTGGAAGTGTATTAGGTTATTTGGATTGATCATAACAGAGAGATTTGTTGTAGATCTATCCCGGAGCCGAGCAGCGAGCTTTCTAAATATGCACCTAACACACACGCACTCACGGAAATGATATGATTGAATCAGCCTGGATCAGCTTCACATTTCAATAAAGGAGATATCGCCCTGCAGGCAGCCGCAGAGCCAGGTGCTGGTTTTTTTTTTTGCCCTGCAGGCTGAATCACCGAGCCTCAGAGTGTCCAACCTGTCAGCACACACACTTGTCTCAATGATTAACAGGGGGCTGACTCACTCACCGGCTTCATAAAGTGTGCTTCAGGTCAATGTATGCATGAGAGGGAGAAAAGTGATGAAGAATGACAGAAGAGTAAGACAGAGGTAAAACCCCTCTGAGTATGTTGGTATGTGTTTATAAGATGCCAGGTCGTATCGTGAGCATGAATTCTTATAGTGCACTTGGCCAGTGAACTATCAGCAGGCCCAGATCATATGACAGGGCCACTCATGATTCTAATTGGTTTCTTTATCAGGAGGGCCAGAGTAGACCTGCCGTGCCTCTAAATCATTCATGACTCAGTCCCCAGACCTTCGTGGGGTAATTCATCCATCTTTTCATTTGAGATATGGCCTGTTTCATGTCTACCTATTTCAGCTGGTGAATTATCAAAGCGACTGTGTGTTTTAGTCAGCCGTAAACACACGCTAAAAGCCTGCCTGTAAATGTTTGGGAAGGTGTGGTTGAGAAGTGTTGAGGATTACTGTGAAGCTTTAGAAACGTATTAAGGTGAAAATATCACCAACTGATGATCATCAAGTAGTTAAAGTATAAGCATGAGTAGTTAAATTAGTTTCATTTTGACTAGCTATAACATTAAAATGATACCTATATAATCAAATGATATAAACTACATTCTTCATTAATTTACCTTAGGATGCTTCTGTACTTTTACTTGAGCAAATTTTGTATATTGGACTTTAACTTGTAAAGTAGTACTTTTATTCTCAGTGGCCACTTTTTGAGGTACTCCTTTATGAAATATCATTACAACAGCTCAGCCATAAATTCTCTTTACAAAGATAATAATGATCAGTTTTGATCGACGCTGACAGAGAGGTATTAATTCAACTATATGTTGATTATTGAGGTTGCAGTTTGCAGCAGTGTAGAACTGGACTGTATAACATTGAGAGAGATATTTCTAATTGTTTGCCCAGCCCATTTACAATTAATCATCGATTAATCTGTCAATCACTTTTTATGATTAATCGATTAGTTGTTTGGACTGTGACAAAACAGTGCATAATAATAGAACATAATAATTTACCAGAACCTCAGGGTGATGTCTTTACATAGCTTTTTTGCATTCAACCAGTGGTTTAAACCCCAAAGATATTCAGTCTATCACAATGCTAGCTTGGAAAAGTAGTAAATCCTCACACTGGAGAAGCTGGAACCATCAAACGTTTTGTGGTTAAAAATGGACATAAGCAATTCATTTATCATCAAAATTAATTCCAGTTTATTTTTCTGTCATTTCACATCTAGATAAGTTGCAAAGGTGTACCTAATAAAGTGGCCAGAGAGTGTATATTGTTGGAGTACCTTTATGTAAAATAAGGATCAAAATCTTTTTCCAACACTAACTACTTTTTATGACTTGCTTTGTCTTCCATACCTCAAATATTTTGAATAAAACAACCACTTTTGTTTGGTGGGCATGACAGCTCCTCATTCACTGGTTATGAATTAATTAATGTGGGTGTATTCGATATCTCCCGCAACCCCTCCCTCTGTGCAATTCGGTGGGCGGGGCGTAATCACACATTGCGCTTCCTAGGCTGCCGGGGTTTAAGAGGATTACAGCGGCGGGCTGGCTCGGGGAGCGAACCGTACTGTTGCCGCCGTCGGTCGGTGTCCAACAGCGGCGGCAGCAGCAGCAGCAGCAGCAGCAGTAAGTGGGAGCTGTGATGGCATGTGTTGCAGCGGTGATGTTAACGGACAACGGTCAACTTTACACCTGAGGACAACAAAACGGGAGACCCAGTTGGAGTCCCGAGATTATGTCCGGAGCTCGTTGTGCTGCTGTGGAGAAAAGTTTACCAGAAGTAGGGATACAGTTACAGCAACGGCGGTAAAATGGTAAATATCCGTTTTGCACTCTTAACAAAGTTAAGCTAACGTTAGCGAACTAACCTCAATACCGTTGCTCAACAGAGATAAACGTTGATTATTCCAGTGTTTAAAACCAACGACTTCTCCATATCCAGTCCATACGTTGCGTTTACGTTCTCCCCTCTCCTTCTGCCCACGTCGAGAGAAGCCTGGTGTTAATTAGGTGGGAAATTACCAGTTTAACGAACAAGCGAAGAGTTCACAAGTCATTTTAACGTGTTTAAAACTAGCTAACTAGCTAACCGTCGAGGTTTTGTCAGTAGAAAAGCAAGTGCCACTTAAAAATCCTCCTCAATATTTAGTGGAAACAGCTGTCAGACCTTCCTCTGCTGTCACGTTTTGTTTTGAGGAGACAAAAATGTCTTTTAATTTAAGAAAAAAAAAAGAAAAAACAAAGCTTTAATTATTAATTTCTTTGTCAGAAAATGTGTATATTGGCTGCAGAATAACATGTTAACACACTCCCCTAATCAATCTTCAGGAGCCTCTTTGCATTTCGGTACAGATCCTCTCTTTCTCTTTAATTTTCCATTCTTAACATTGGTCTCTTACTGTTTTTTTTTTTTTCACTCCCACAATCGTGTGCTATAAAAAGGGACTGCAGTATGGAGAAGTGTCCGCCAGCTCTGAAACCTCTTATATCATGTTGCACTACTTTATCTGCACACGTATGTGAGGTGTCATTAAATTGTCAGATTTTTGAATGCGGTTCGGTGGAGATGAGCTGAGCTTCTTCCAGATCTGATCACACAGTGAAGTTGTGGTAATGCTTCATAAGTCATTTTGACACCATGCTCAGGTGACCTTTTTTATTATTATTATTATTATTATGTAGACGTTTTATCATCTAGACATCAAGTGGGCTGTTTGCAAACAGTAAACGCACCCACAGGCTAATCCAGTGGTGGAGCAGGTTTATCTAGTCTGTCTACATGCTTTGCTCTGCTTTGATTCAGATTCATCCTTCTGTCATCATATCCAATCATATGAAATATATTTCCATTCAACCACTCCATATGTGCTGCAGAGGTCCTTGTTGCACGAGGGGCAAGCGGCCATATAGTATGTGCCTTTCTGTTATTTTTGTGACCACACATGCAGTGGTGACATGCCTGTGCCGCCGTGTTCTTCCTCCTAAAGGTTGGATAACGTGACGTGATATGACAGAAAAACAGTTTCTTCTCTGACCCACATACGGAGGAGCTTCTGCTCTTGTGAAGCCCTGTGCAGAACAATCATACAGGCTCCTCGGCTGAGAGTTGTATGAAAGAGTCTACATGGGTACAAGGTGCATCGCCTTTTGTGTTGCTATGCAATTCACACAGGTCTTATGTGAATCCCATTTTAAAGGTTCCTTAAAATTACTTTAATGCTGCAATTTTCTTCCTCAGTTTGACTTAATTTCAATGTAATAGTAAAAAGAGCCGCTTGCACTGCTACAGTCTTCTGGGAGATGGGAACAGGATTTTTTATTTTTTATTTTTTGCCAGCTGACACCCACATACACAACTGTGAACCATGTCTCTGTGGTGTGTTGTCCTGCTGTCTGTTAGGCATCAGTACTCGGGGGGGCTTTTGTAAACTCATGAGGCCTTGATGAGCTGTTCAGTGGCTGGAGGGAGACCATCCCGTCCTCAGTGGTTAACCTTTATTTGACAGCACTCAGGGGATACATATGGGGGTGTCGACTGAGCACCTGGGAGCTGCCCAGTGCAAACATGGTTTACTGCTGAGCTGCTCTGTTGGTGCCTTGCCCAAGGGCACCTCAGTGGTAGTTGTTGTGGAGGGAAACAGCGTTAGTCACTCACTCTCCTCGAGCACGTTTTCCTGTCTGTAGCTGGGAGGTGTAGTGTCTGTAAGGGAGGGGGCACAGTACACTGAAGCCTCTGCAAACTATTTCTACAGCAACTTTTTTAACAAGTTATTCTCTCTCAAGTGTGAGAGCTGAAATAGTTAATCACTTAATCAATCGGTCGAGCCACAGAAAATTAATCAATTGGGGAAAAAAGTCATTTTTCAAGCTTAAATGCAGAACTTTAACTAAGGATTTCTACTTTTTTGTCTTTAATGATAACAAAGTGAATATATTTGAGTTTTTTTTTTTTAAATTTATTGTACCAAGCGGATTTTAAATCGTCAACTTTGGCTTTAGGAAATGTTGATCATCATTTTTCACATTTAACAGACCAAACAGTGGATCAATAAAGAATACACATTAAGTGTTATAACCTCTTTTAGTGTGTTGACTGTACACAAGAAAGAATCAACCACACTGATGAATTAATTAATTGATAATAATAAATTGTAGTCTGTGACTTAAGAGCATTAAAAAGCAAAACAAATTAGATCAAAACTGTGAAAAATGCCCGAGGCGAAGATATTCAGTTTATTATCAGATGTGACAAAGAGAAAAAATGCAAATCCTCACATTTGAGAAGCTGTAATTAGGGATATATTGGTAGTTTTGATTAAAAAAAGACTTAAAACGCTTAATCAGTAATTCATATATGATTACCCTATCGCTGTTTTTCAGTTGATCGTCCAATTAATCGATAAATCCCACTGCTGGTCTATTGATTTTCTGTTCAATCCACTAAAAACTCACCTACAGAGTTCATAAATGCACTGAATACCACCTTAAATCTGTTGTTTAATGAGCGGGCCTTTCTCACTACTGACGTTACACATTACTTTTCCTTTTCCTAGGTTTTTTTTTTTTTTAATTTTTTTCATGTGTGCACATCTAAATATAGTGCGGCAGGATTAAAAACGTGTCTCCTAACCTCATCTCTTACCCGTCATACATAATGCACGCTAAAATATTTGGCATTTCATCAGCATCTCTTCAGTTCAGAGGGTTGCGGTCTTCTGTGGGACCCACATCGGCGCCTGCGGAGACTTGGCGTGCGTCTTAACCAGGCAGACGTGCCCAGCTTACCTCCTCGGTGATGAAGAGAGAAAGCGACTGTTATCGGCGAGGAAATTGATTTGTTGAGCCAGGTAGAAGGACTGTTGTTGACTCAGTTTTATCGAAATATCAATATGGACGCCTCTTAAAGGTCAGGTCGCTCGTGTGTGTTTGTGTGTGTGTTTACAGTGTGTCTCTGTGTGGGTGGTGGTGTATAATTAATGCATGGAGTAGCCTTTTCTCTTGCTATCATTACATCATTTTCAGAGAGGAAGATTTGCAGGCTGGACGCTTGTGTGTGTTTTTGATCTAAAGGAAAGGGATGAGGTTGTGTTTCCTTCTCCGAGTTCCCCACAGCGTTCCCTCCGGGCAGCGACCTGTTTTTCTAAGACTTTCTTCTTCAGCCTCACGTCAGTAAAGAAGAGATTGTCTTGCCCAAGGTCTAATTCAACTTCTCTTGGCACAGAGATAACCGGAATCTGTTTATTACTGAAATAGCATTTGTCTGGCATCAGTCACACATCAAGATACAGTTTGTTTTGTTTGTTTTGGCTGGGAAATGCATCACACAGAGACTTCCCTAAGCTCCAGCGTTGGATTGTTAGACACCAAAGAAAAGCTAAAATAACCTGACTGTGCAGGAACATTTATTTCTACCCAATGGCAAACAGGAATGGAAGTCTTGGATTGTTTTGTTTATCAGATAGGATGTAAAATGTTTTCCTCTTTCTTTCAGTGCAGTTGTTCAGCGCGTTTTGTTCAAATACTATCTGTACTTTCAGTCATAGTTGTGTCTTGTAGGTCTTCCTCCCTTTTTAAGAATGAATTTACCTTAGCTGTCTTGTAGTTTAGGGCTGCATCTATCCATTATTGATTGATCTGCCAAGTTCTTTGTCCCTTAATTGATTGAAAGTGACGTCAGAACCCAAAGATATTAAATTTAAACTTTTTTTTGCTAGAAAATTCGAGCTCATTATTATTCTGTTGATCAGCTAATGGATTTTCTGGACTTATCATTGCAGCTCTAAAATAACAAAGTCATTATATCAACCGAAGACACCAAACACTCTTTGGTTGCAGCTTCTCGAATTTTCTAATTTTCTAATTTTCTCTGTTTTATATCTTTGTAAACTGAACATCTTTGAGTTTTGGGGAATTGTTATGGGCTATTTTTTTGTTTTAGTATTTCTTGGCAACGACTTGTCAGGATTATTAAAGAATAATCAACAGATCAGTCTATTGTGAAAATATCACTTAGTTACAGCTCATGAGTTAAGCTCCATGGCTCTTGGTTGAGTCAACAAAAACAAAACAAAGGGAGGAACAGGCTCAACTTTCTTTTTATATTTAGTCTCTTGAAATCCTTCAGGGTGCTACCAGTCCATCTAAATCACATATCAGGCGAGCACCAGCGTTGGAGAAGCATGAATCAAAGGATTTGCTTAAAAAATGACATTTTTTATTAAAATTAGTTGCAGATAAATTGATTTGTCGACTTGTTGCAGCTCTAGTTCCTTACATGAACAAGAGACAATAAAAATAGAGCAAAAAAAATAGAGCTTAAAAGTTGTATAATGTGTTCCCTGCCTTTGGGGTTTATGGATTTTCCCCTAAGTAACACAACAGTTGATTTCATGCAGCCGGTCAGAGCTTGTTTTTCACTTCTACGTCTGTAGGCTACAGGAAACCGGCTACTGCAGTGAGCCTTGTTTTATTGCCAGCACACACACACACACACACACACACACACACACACACACACACACACACACACACACGTATATACAAACTGACAGAGTCCCCCATCAGCACCACAAATCACAGTGATGAGCTGAGCCGGGGCCATTGTTCGGCCATTGAGAGAGAACAAACTGGGAGGAGTGAATGTAGTTGAATGGGAGCTGACTGATGGTCTTCGCCCTCGACTGGCTTCAGTGGTTATTACGGCGAGGTGCGAGCCCGGCTCTACTCGGTCGCGTCTGTTGTCACGGCAACCGGTGGAATCCGTTTCCCCTAGCCCCCTCTTCTTTGTCGTGTCCCGGAATAAACGAGGCTTAAC